TACCACGGATGCAAAGACAAAGAGAGAAAAGGCAAGTTTATTTGTATAGCACACTGAACAAAACAAGAAATACAAATAAAATCATACAGATTAAATAATCACAGTACATTAAACAGAGAGAAGACATAATCCCTCAGTTGTTTTTAACCTGGATTTGAACATTGTCAGAGAAACAGCCTACATTTTCAGGAAGATTGTTCAATATTTTAGCTGCATGAATCTGAAACGCTGCCTCCTCATGTTTAGTCCTGACTCTGGAACCAGCAGGAGGCCAGTCCCTGTGCTCCTCAGAGTTGGTTCATATGGGACTAACATGTCACTTTAGTGCGAGGCTGTGGAGCGGCCCTCTGTAACAAACAGAGCAGTTTTAAAGCCTAGTCTCTGAGCCACAGGAAGCAGAGACCTGAGACCAGGACTAATGTGATGGTACTTCCTGGTTCTAGTCAGGACTAATGTGAGCCCCAACCCCAGGCCTGGCTCCAGGATGGGGCCCCGGCTGCGCCATGCCGGGCGACGTCACGGTTGTCGTTGTTGTGCGATCCATGGTTGGCTTCGGACTGCGTCATGCCATGACCCTACCAGGGGCATGAAGCCCCAGACAGCTTAGCTCCCAGGATCACCCGAGTGCTCAAACTCCCCCACCACGTTATGGTGGCAGTCCAGGGGGAGGTGGCAGTCCAGGGGGAGGTGGCAGTCCAGGGCGAGGTGGCAGTCCAGGGGGAGGTGGCAGTCCAGGGGGAGGTGGCAGTCCAGGAGGAGGTGGCAGTCCAGGAGGAGGTGGCAGTCCAGGGGGAGGTGGCAGTCCAGGGGGAGGTGGCAGTCCAGGGGGAGGTGGCAGTCCAGGGGGAGGTGGCAGTCCAGGAGGAGGTGGCAGTCCAGGAGGAGGTGGCAGTCCAGGGGGAGGTGGCAGTCCAGGGGGAGGTGGCAGTCCAGGGGGAGGTGGCAGTCCAGGGGGAGGTGGCAGTCCAGGAGGAGGTGGCAGTCCAGGAGGAGGTGGCAGTCCAGGGGGAGGTGGCAGTCCAGGAGGAGGTGGCAGTCCAGGAGGAGGTGGCAGTCCAGGGGGAGGTGGCAGTCCAGGAGGAGGTGGCAGTCCAGGAGGAGGTGGCAGTCCAGGGGGAGGTGGCAGTCCAGGAGGAGGTGGCAGTCCAGGAGGAGGTGGCAGTCCAGGGGGAGGTGGCAGTCCAGGAGGAGGTGGCAGTCCAGGAGGAGGTGGCAGTCCAGGAGGAGGTGGCAGTCCAGGAGGAGGTGGCAGTCCAGGGGGAGGTGGCAGTCCAGGGGGGAGGTGGCAGTCCAGGAGGAGGTGGCAGTACAGGGGGAGGTGGCAGTCCAGGGGGAGGTGGCAGTCCAGGGGGAGGTGGCAGTCCAGGGGGAGGTGGCAGTCCAGGGGGAGGTGGCAGTCCAGGGGGAGGTGGCAGTCCAAGGGGGAGGTGTTGTATCAAAGCTAAAATGGTTGTGGAAAGTGGAGGTAGTTTTACTGACTGTTTCTAAGTGTTCCTTAATACAGATCGAAGTGGTTAGCCATGCTTCTAAGTGTTCCTTAATACAGATCGAAGTGGTTAGCCATGCTTCAAAGTGTTCCTTAATACAGATCGAAGTGGTTAGCCATGCTTCTAAGTGTTTCTTAATACAGATTGAAGTGGTTAGCCATGCTTCTAAGTGTTCCTTAATACAGATTGAAGTGGTTAGCCATGCTTCTAAGTGTTCCTTAATACAGATTGAAGTGGTTAGCCATGCTTCTAAGTGTTACTTAATACAGATTGAAGTGGTTAGCCATGCTTCTAAGTGTTCCTTAATACAGATTGAAGTGGTTAGCCATGCTTCTAAGTGTTCTTAATACAGATTGAAGTGGTTAGCCATGCTTCTAAGTGTTTCCTTAATACAGATTTGAAGGTGGTTCGCCCTGTCTTTATGCGTCCAAATAAAGAGTTGGACACCAGAACAGTAGGAGAACGGGAAGAATATGCAAAAGACAAGTTTATTGGTATAGCACAGTTCATAAACAGGAGAAGAAGAGGGACATGAACTTAAAATGTATTTATTTATTCATTGTTGATGTTTATTTAACGTATGTTCGGATCCAATCCAGGTGTTTCTTGGTGAGGGAAAGTGTAGACTCCAGGTTTGGTCGATGGGCTCCACAGCCGATCCCGATCGAGGTGACTCCCACCAGCTGCTGTCCGCACAGCAGGGGGCCTCCAGAGTCTCCCTGGAACACACACAATTTAATAAATAATGGACTTAAAACAGGTGGTTAGCCATGCTTCTAGGATCAACACTACAGTTTAGAGTGGTTAGCCATGCTTCTAAGAGACCTGGCAGGAGTCGGCCTGGCTGGTCCCGTCGGAGCCTGCACAGACGTGTCCGTGTGTGATGACAGGACGCAGGTTGTAGTAGTTTTTAGAGTTGCACTTGTCTCTGTCCACCACCGTCACGTTCACCGCCATCAGGACGTCAGAGCCTCTCTTGGCCCCGTACTTCAGGGCCCCCCATCCAGCGACCACACAGGAGCTGCCAGGGGCCGGGTCCTGCACCGGGGGCCCCACCCTCAGGACCCCCACCCACTCCGTCTGCTTCACCGGCTTCTTCAGCTGAACACACAGATGTAGACTCGTTAGTTTGACAACGGTCTCTGTCTCTCTCTGGTCTCACGCTGGCCTCAGTCTCTGGTCTCTCTCTGGTCTCAGTCTCTCTCTGGCCTCAGTCTCTTTCTGGTCTCCCGCTGGCCTCAGTCTCTGGTCTCTCTCTGGTCTCAGTCTCTCTCTGGCCTCAGTCTCTGGTCTCTCAAAAAGTTTGTTTTGCTAATGTAGTGTCTGCTATTATATCTTCTACATATACAGTATGTATCTTCATATGTTTAAAATTGTGTTTAGATCATTCGGGCCAAATTGCAGAGGCAGCTGACTCTAATGACCATTCTCTCCCAGTCATGAGGCAGACGTGACTCTGGGAAAAACAATGGAAGATCTTCATATGTGTGAACAGCACTGATATCATGCGACTGCCCATTTAGGTCCTGTGAATGTATGGTTGTTCAAATGTGTCTTATGACTTCTTCTAAAATTCTATATAGATCCCAGTGCTGTGTGTGCTCGGGGTCATTCTTACCATCCTGATGCTGACCCAGGCTGGGAGCGCTAAGCCTGGATTTGACTTGATGCTATTCTGATTATGTCATTAAACTCTTTCTTTAATACATAACTCAGACTGCATTCCTTCTAAAACACTACACTGGTTTGTGCGAGGAACCCCATCTCCTGCAGAGGAGAAGATACAACACTAATTTCCCAGAATCCCATTGGTTTGAATGAGAGTCAAAAGTCAAAACAGTGACCACTCTGTTTTTTCAAGTAGTTTCATTATTCTGGGAGTCCTAGAGAAAAATAAATAAGTAAATAAAGTGCACCTTGAGCAGCATCAGGTCGTGGACTTTTTCCTCTTCGTCGTAACACGGATGTGGGATCATCTGCTTCACGTGTCGGATCTGTGCTGTGGCCTCCTCCAGTCTGATGTTGTGAGCTCCCAGTGTCACCGTGGAGATCTTAAAGTCTGCACTGGAGCTGGAAGGACATGGGTTTGGAAGCTGAGACCAGAGGAAGACCAGAGAGAGACCAGAGAGAGACCAAGGAGAGACTAGAGAGAGACCAGAGACTGAGGCCAGAAAGGGACCAGAGAGAAAGATTGCGTTTGTATTTGTGGTGTTTCTTACTTGCCGCAGTGAGCTGCCGTCAGGACCCACTGTGGATCGATCAGAGTTCCTCCACAGAAAGAATGTTTACTTTGGAGAAAAGCCATAAACTTCACGGAGTGAGGAGTGACTTCGGTCCCATTGATGATCTGAGCTGCATCGTCTGCAAAACAGTCAGAAATGAATCCATGTATTATTATAGATGATAGATAGATTGGTCTCCAGTAGCAGCAAAAATAAAAAATATAATGGATCATTCTAAAAAGCTAACAATAGTAATAATCTGCAACAGCCCTTCAGGTCACAGCAGCAGAGGTGGGAAGGCTCTGGGTGGACCCGGAGAAACCAGAGGGACTCGAGAGCAACCAGAGACCAGAGGCCAGAGAGACTGAGACCAGAGCGAGAGAGAGACTGAGGCCAGAGAAAAACGAGTGATGATAGACAAGAGAAAGACCAGAAAGAGACTGAGGCCAGAGCGAGAGACTAGTGAGACCAGACATGAAGCAAAGAGAGAGCAGAGAGACCTGATAGAGACGCCATCAGTTAAAGAGTAAAAACATTTGTACCCGAATGAGTAATCGTTAAACAACTATAGATAAATAAATGTGACTCACTTGAGCAGAGCAGGCTCAGAGCAAAGAGCAAAAGAAAACTTGTGAGTTTTGAGCGATTCATTTCCTTTTCTTGAAGAAATGTGGTTTTCTCAATTTGAAATGAGTTTTTAAAGAGAGCCTGACCCGTCTGTGACGCCTACAATCAGTGCTTCTCAAACTGCCGTACCCTCCCACCGGTACATAGGAGATTACATGTATTGTATTCTTTATCATGGCCATGTATTTAATGTTAGTATGTGAGTCGGTATTTGATGCTCCTGAGGCGCCGGACGGTTTGTCAGAATCTCTTCGAGGCCAAGCGATAGTCCTGCTCCATGGACTCTCCGAACTCCTCCCAGTCCCGGGTTTTTGCCTCCGCAACAGCCCGGGCCGCGGCACGCTTGGCCTGCCGGTACTGGACAGCTGCCTCAGGAGTCCCACAAACCATCATTGCTCGATAGGACTCCTTCTTCAGCCTGACGGCATCCCTTACTGCCGGTGTCCACCACCGGGTTCGGGGATTGCTGCCGGGACCAGCACCAGAGACCCTGCGACCACAGCTACGAGCCGCCGCATTGGCGATAGAGGAAGAGAAGATGGTCCACTCGGACTCGATGTCCCCCTCCTCTGCCGGGACCTGGGAGAAGCTCTCCCGGAGGTGTGAGTTGAAAGTCCGTCTGACAAGGGGCTCAGCGAGACGTTCCCAGCAGACCCTCACTACACGCTTGGGCCTGCCAGGTCTGACCGGCTTCCTCCCCTGCCAGCGGATCCAACTCACGACCAGGTGATGATCGGTTGACAGCTCCGCCCTTCTCTTCACCCGAGTGTCCGAGACACGCGGTCTAAGGTCAGAGGATACGACAACAAAGTCGATCATCGACCTCCGGCCTAGGGTGTCCTGGTGCCACGTGCACTGATGGACACCCTTGTGCTCGAACATGGTGTTCGGGATGGACAGACCGTGACTGGCACAGAAGTCGAACAACTGAACACCGCTCGGGTTCAGATCAGGGGGGCCGTTCTTCCCGATCACCCCTCTCCAAGTGTCACTGGCATTTCCCACATGGGCGTTGAAGTCCCCCAGGAGAATAACGGAGTCCCCGGGCGGTGCACTGTCCAGTACCCCTCCCAAGGACTCCATGAAGGCCGGGTACTCTGCACTGCCGTTAGGCCCGTAGGCCGTCACAACAGTGAGAGACTTGTCCCCCACCCGGAGGCAGAGGATGAATGAGAGCGACCCTCTCATTCACCGGGGAGAACTCCAACACGTGGCGGCTGAGATGGGGGGCAATGAGTATGGCCACCCCAGCTCGCCGCCTCTCCCCGCGGGAAACACCAGAAAAGTGGAGCGTCCAACCCCTCTCAAGGAGTTGGGTTCCAGAGCCCAAGCTGTGTGTGGAGGTGAGGCCGACTATCTCTAGTCGGTATCGCTCAACCTCCCCCACAAGTTCGGGCTCCTTCCCCCCCAGTGAGGTGACGTTCCACGTCCCAAGAGCCAGGTGTTGGGTGTGTGGACTGGGTCGTCGAGGTCTCCGCCTTTGATTGCTGCCCAGTCCTCGCTGCACCTCGCCACCACGGACCCCTCTGCAGGTGGTGGGCCCACAGGAGGGACTGCCCGGGCTGAGCCCGGCCGGGCCCCGTGGGCTAAGGCCCGGCCACCAGGCGCTCGCTTGCGAGCCCCGACCCCAGGCCTGGCTCCAGGCTAGGGCCCCGGCTGCGCCATGCCGGACGACGTCACCATTCTTGTATTAGTGCTGTCCATGGTTGGCTTCGGACTGCGCTTCGTCTGACTCGTCACCTGAGACCTGTCTGCCATGGGAGACCCTACCAGGGGCATGAAGCCCCAGACAGCATAGCTCCCAGGATCATCCGAGTGCTCAAACTCCCCCACCACGTTAAGGTGGCAGTCCAAGGGGCAGGGACATTTATGATTTTAATGCTTTCTTATTTTGTTCAGCACTTTGAGTTGCCTTGTGTATAAATTGTGCTATACAAATACACTTGCCTTGCCTACTTCCGATGTCCACCACCGGGTTCGGGGGTTGCTGCCGGGACCAGCACCAGAGACCCGGCGACGACAGCTACGAGCTGCAGCATCGGCGATAGAGGAAGAGAACATGGTCCACTCGGACTTGATATCCCCCTCCTACCCCGGGACCTGGGAGAAGCTCTCCCGGAGGTGTGAGTTGAAAGTCCGTCTGACAGGGGGCTTAGCAAGACGTTCCCAGCAGACCCTCACTACACTCTTGGGTCTGCCAGGTCTGACTGGCTTCTTCCCATGCCAGCGGATCCAACTCGCGACCAGGTGGTGATCGGTTGACAGCTCCGCCCCTCTCTTCACCCGAGTATCCGAGACACGCGGTCGAAGGTCAGATGATACGACGACAAAGTCGATCATCGACCTCCGGCCTAGGGTGTCCTGGTGCACTGGTGGACACCCTTGTGCTGGAACATGCGTTTGTGATGGACAAACTGTGACTAGCACAGAAGTCCAACAACTGACCACCGCTCGGGTTCAGATCAGGGGGACCATTCTTCCCGATCACCCCTCTCCAAGTGTCACTGGCATTTCCCACATGGGCGTTAAAGTCCCCCAGGAGAATAACGGAGTCCCCGGTCGGTGCACTGTCCAGTACCTCTCCCAGGGACTCCAAGAAGGCCGAGTACTCAGCACTACAGTGAGAGACTTGTCCCCCACCCGAAGGCGAAGGGACGCGACCCTCTCATTCACCGGGGATAACTCCAACACGTGGCGGCTGAGATGGGGGGCAATGAGAATGGCCACCCCCGCTTGCCGCCTCTCCCGGAGAGAAACGCGTCCAACCCCTCTCAAGGAGTTGAAGCGCAGTCCGAAGCCAACCATGGATCGCACAACAACGACAACCGTGACGTCGCCCGGCATGGCGCAGCCAGGGCCCCATCCTGGAGCCAGGCCTGGGGTTGGGGCTCGAAAGTCGTCCCTTCGGGCTGATTCCCGTGGGCTAAGGCCCGGTCACCAGGCGCTCGCTTTCGAGCCCCAACACCCAGGCCTGTATGCCGCATGGGAGACCCTACCAGGGGCATGAAGCCCCAGACAACATAGCTCCCAGGATCATCCGAGTACTCAAACTCCCCCACCACGTTAAGGTGGCAATCCAGGGCAGAGGTGGCAGTCCAGGGGGGAGGTGGCAGTGCAGGGCAGAGGTGGCAGTCCAGGGGGGAGGTGGCAGTCCAGGGGTAGCTTTTGGTGATAATGGGTAAAATATGGACCCTTAAATGGACAAATAGGAAGACTGTGTCATTGTAAATAATATTCCACATAAAAGATTTAGATAAAAAGATAGATACTTTAAATCATCAATCAGAACGTGTAAAGCTTAGGCCCTGCACAGTATTAACAAAGTGAGTTATTTATTTGCTTATATTAATTTCCTGCTGGTCATTTTTTCTCTTTCAACTTTTACCATTTCTCCTCATTTTGGTGAAACGACGGTCAAATGGCACAGCTGTGATTCCTGACAGCCAATAAGAAGCCGTGTTGGTTGACTTTCAAATATACCACAAACAAGTGAACGGCAAATGGAGAACACAGTTTTTCTCTATTGCTTAAACACATTTCATGATACTGGCCTCACTTTTCACAGAACTCTAAACACAAAACACTTTTCAGCAACCTCACGGTCTCTTTCCAAAACCGACCCATCACACCAAAACAGTTCTCATCGGCTCAAAAGCAAACTTTGACACCACAAAACCTCTCAAGGCCTGCAAACATGTGAACATCATTAACCACATTACAACAAAACTATTGAAAACACAATTTTCAGAGTGTGAGACACAGTTTGACAGCTGCCAGGATGCATTTGAGCAACACTTACTTATTCTCATATATGTTTTGGGTATTTACTGTAGATTTGTGCATTTGTAGTTACATAATGCAGACAATACAGTTATATCACAACTCAATGCAACAATGAGTAATGTTATGGCAAAATTCATGTTTGAATTTCATTGCACCAAATCCACTGATAACATTGGAGCAAAGGCCTCCTGTGCTGAGGTCTGTTATGTGGAGCTGCCACTCAGACCTGTGTTCCAGTTCCAGGCTCCACTTCCACGATTTCCAGCCTGCTTTAGGTTCCCTGCTGGGAGCCTATAAAAGCCACACCTTGGGCCTCAAAAGGCACGTTTGTTTGTTCATGTTTATGTAAAAAAATTAATATACGCTATATATTCAGCTGCGTTTTGAACAAATTTGCTAAAATGTTTTGATACATTAGAAAAATCTCTCTTGAATTCTAGAAGTGAATGGATAAAGAATGAATGAATGAATGAATTCATATATATATATTGCAGCGGTGGCTCTCATCAATGAAGCGTCTGCAGCGTCTTGGACGCAGCCTGGCTCGGGGTAGAAGTGCGCATTGAAGCACTGTACACTTGAGAGCTTTTGCGATCCAGATCTTACAAAGAAACTCTGGAGCCGACCTCTCACGGACCTGCTGCGCACTCTGGACAGAGCAGTGAGTCTGGACAGAGCGGTCAGTCTGGACAGAGCAGTGAGTCTGGACAGAGCAGTGAGTCTGGACAGAGCAGTGAGTCTGGACAGAGCGGTCAGTCTGGACAGAGCAGTGAGTCTGGACAGAGCGGTCAGTCTGGACAGAGCAGTGAGACATTTGGAGTGAGCAATACCATCCATCCGTGCGTTTGTGTGTGTCTGTGTGAGGCTTACACAAATCTAATGAAATAATACATTGCTTTACCAGATGTGAATGAGGAAAAACAGATGCGTAATTACGAAACGCATGCAGGCCTGCCACAGATTTACAAAGCAACAGCTGGGTCACACATCCCTGTCGCGTAAAGTGTATTTGTATAGAGCCTTTCACTGTCCAGGATCACAAAGCGCTTCACATTTTAAAAACAGATCAAAATAATACACACAGAAGTCAGATTTAAAATCATAGAAACAGAAGAGGCTCCTCATCATGATCTGTACTTTATTCGAAGTTTGCGTGTTTCCATTAGAGTTTTTCTGATGCGCAAATTCAAATTCCGAAACATGATGCTCCATGAAAACGCAGCTTATAATGTTGCCAGAGTGGGAACATGTTTATTGTTGTCCACATCTTGAATTTCATGCGTGTTTTGGCGTGTTGTGACGAAGGGTGAAATGAGCGTACACATTTACACCACCTATTGACTTGGTGTAAATTCTGTGCGTACCGTACGCTCACGTCCAGATTGATAAATGCGGAAAAGTGTACATTTTATGCGTACGCATAATTTACACCCTGATTTGGCCGTACGCAAGTTTCATACATGAGGCCCCTTGACTCCACCCATCTCTCTCTGTCCTGGCAGCAGCAGCCCGGCTCACCCATGGATGTATTATATTAACTGGATAGGGTATTACTAGCTTGTAGCTGAATAACTCACGTGCTCGGGGGATTCTCGCGGTACTGCAGACTGAACCAGACTAAATTCACGTGGGCTACCCAGAAATTTTCCCCATAGAACTCAATGCATATTAAAACAGCTCGACCTCAGCTGACAGAGAACCTACAGCTTTAATAAAGATCGGATTTTGTGGGGATTTTAGTGTCCCTTGTCATCCTGAACTTTTTTTCTTCTTAAATCCTTCGGTTTTGTTTAAATCCACACTTTAGTGCCACAAACTCTGCTCCTCTGGCTCTCGCTCTAACTCCCGCTCTGATGAACTGCTCTGATTGGTCAGAGCGCGGCCGAGCCCCTCTGTGCACGTGCGTGAGACCCGGTGTGAGACCCACACACGCGTGTTTGGAGCAATGCATTATGGGAGATCATCCACTGCACAGAACCGGGAGGACCAGACGATGCCCAAATACAGGCGAGTTTCCCATAGATCTTTGCGAGTTTCAGGCAACTTCCCCTAATCTTTCAGCCCCCATGCCGTCACAAAGCGCCACTGAGCACAACCATTCATTTGAATAGGGCGCCATCTTGGATCGCCGGGGCTTGGGCTCACCACACCTGCCTTGCCCTTTTTGGTTTTCTTTGTTATTTCCCTGGAATTTTGTTGCTGTTAATAAATGATCGTAACTTCTAGTTGCCTCTTGTCCTTTATGTTGCACGTGTAGAGCCAAGGTGTAACAGGAAGGAAGAAGGAGGAAGAATCAATCCTCTGTTGAAGTAACCGCAGCTAAACGCATGTGCTCTGTCTATTCTTTTTATCACAGGTTGGTAAAGCGTTAAAAACACATGTTTATGCCAATTGTTAGAGTTTTCAGTTATCTGAGAGTGTTTTGTGAACCGTGGTTATGTGTCGAATGAAGCTGTATGAGGTTTTGTGTGAATATGTATACTTTTTTATGCTAACACTAATGGCGACGTGGGTAAACTTGAACCACACCAGTCATGGTAAAAGAACCACATGAGGAGTAGCATTGTGAACATTTATGAAACTTATTTCATGCAATACTGTGTTTTGTTGAGTTCATGTGATTGTTTAAACAATTATCAGTAGACAGTATTGTAAGTGTAGAAGCACATGGTCCAGCTCTGAGTCTGGCGCCATCTTGTGGACATTTAAAAGTAGTACACAAGTAGCAAGAATAATTTAGAGACAATTTCTTAGTTTTTTCTTGGTAATTCAGAAATAAATAATTGAACAAGTTAAACGCATTTAAAGATAAAGATTGTGATTCATCTAATGTAAAAGCTATTGTTAAAAATGGATACAGTTCATGTTATTGTGAATATGTACAAATGTAAGAATATATAAAAGTATATGTATATTTTCTGATGATCGCTAATGAGAGGAAGAATCAATCCTCTGTTGAAGTAAACGCAGCTCATGCATGCGCTCTGTCTATTCTTTTTATCACAGGCGTTGCTTCACGGAGACATATGCCCTCTGAACCACCGGACAGAGGGGCAACACATGGCTAACTACCTGATGAATTCAGATGCCTACCTAATTTAATGTACTTAGAAGCATGGCTAACTACTTGATGAATTCAGATGCCTACCTAATTTAATGAACTTAGAAGCATGGCTAACTACTTGGTGAATTTAGATGCCTACCTAATTTAATGTACTTAGAAGAATGGCTAACTACTTGGTGAATTTAGATGCCTACCTAATTTAATGTACTTAGAAGCATGGCTAACTACTTGATGAATTCAGATGCCTACCTAATGTAATGAACTTAGAAGCATGGCTAACTACTTGGTGAATTTAGATGCCTACCTAATTTAATGTACTTAGAAGCATGGCTAACTACTTGGTGAATTTAGATGCCTACCTAATTTAATGAACTTAGAAGCATGGCTAACTACTTGATGAATTCAGATGCCTACCTAATTTAATGAACTTAGAAGCATGGCTAACTACTTGGTGAATTTAGATGCCTACCTAATTTAATGAACTTAGAAGCATGGCTAACTACTTGGTGAATTTAGATGCCTACCTAATTTAATGAACTTAGAAGCATGGCTAACTACTTGGTGAATTTAGATGCCTACCTAATTTAATGAACTTAGAAGCATGGCTAACTACTTGGTGAATTTAGATGCCTACCTAATTTAATGAACTTAGAAGCATGGCTAACTACTTGGTGAATTTAGATGCCTACCTAATATAATGAACTTAGAAGCATGGCTAACTACCTGATGAATTCAGATGCCTACCTAATTTAATGAACTTAGAAGCATGGCTAACTACTTGGTGAATTTAGATGCCTACCTAATTTAATGTACTTAGAAGAATGGCTAACTACTTGGTGAATTTAGATGCCTACCTAATTTAATGTACTTAGAAGCATGGCTAACTACTTGATGAATTCAGATGCCTACCTAATTTAATGAACTTAGAAGCATGGCTAACTACTTGGTGAATTTAGATGCCTACCTAATTTAATGTACTTAGAAGAATGGCTAACTACTTGGTGAATTTAGATGCCTACCTAATTTAATGAACTTAGAAGCATGGCTAACTACCTGGTGAATTTAGATGCCTACCTAATTTAATGAACTTAGAAGCATGGCTAACTACTTGGTGAATTTAGATGCCTACCTAATTTAATGAACTTAGAAGCATGGCTAACTACTTGGTGAATGTAGATGCCTACTTAGTTTAATGAACTTAGAAGTATGGCTAACTACTTGGTAAATTTAGATGCCTACCTAATTTAATGAACTTAGAAGCATGGCTAACTACTTGGTGAATTTAGATGCCTACCTAATTTAATGTACTTAGAGGCATGGCTAACTACTTGGTGAATTTAGATGCCTACCTAATTTAATGTACTTAGAAGCATGGCTAACTACTTGGTGAATTTAGATGCCTACCTAATTTAATGTACTTAGAAGCATGTCTAACTACTTGGTGAATTTAGATGCCTACCTAATTTAATGTACTTAGAAGCATGGCTAACTACTTGGTGAATTTAGATGCCTACCTAATTTAATGTACTTAGAAGCATGGCTAACTACAGTACTTGGTGAATTTAGATGCCTACCTAATTTAATGTACTTAGAAGCATGGCTAACTACTTGGTGAATTTAGATGCCTACCTAATTTAATGAACTTAGAAGCATGGCTAACTACTTGGTGAATTTAGATGCCTACCTAATTTAATGTACTTAGAGGCATGGCTAACTACTTGGTGAATTTAGATGCCTACCTAATTTAATGTACTTAGAAGAATGGCTAACTACTTGGTGAATTTAGATGCCTACCTAATTTAATGAACTTAGAAGCATGGCTAACTACCTGGTGAATTTAGATGCCTACCTAATTTAATTAACTTAGAAGCATGGCTAACTACTTGGTGAATTTAGATGCCTACCTAATTTAATGAACTTAGAAGCATGGCTACCTACTTGGTGAATTTAGATGCCTACCTACTTTAATGAACTTAGAAGCATGGCTAACTACTTGGTGAATTTAGATGCCTACCTAATTTAATGAACTTAGAAGCATGGCTAACTACTTGGTGAATTTAGATGCCTACTTAATTTTATGAACTTAGAAGTATGGCTAACTACTTGGTAAATTTAGATGCCTACCTAATTTAATGAACTTAGAAGCATGGCTAACTACTTGGTGAATTTAGATGCCTACCTAATTTAATGTACCTAGAGGCATGGCTAACTACTTGGTGAATTTAGATGCCTACCTAATTTAATGTACTTAGAAGCATGGCTAACTACTTGGTGAATTTAGATGCCTACCTAATTTAATGTACTTAGATGCATGGCTAACTACTTGGTGAATTTATATGCCTACCTAATTTAATGTACTTAGAAGCATGGCTAACTACTTGGTGAATTTAGATGCCTACCTAATTTAATGAACTTAGAAGCATGGCTAACTACCTGGTGAATTTAGATGCCTACCTAATTTAATGAACTTAGAAGCATGGCTAACTACTTGGTGAATTTAGATGCCTACCTAATTTAATGAACTTAGAAGCATGGCTAACTACTTGGTGAATTTAGATGCCTACCTAATTTAATGAACTTAGAAGCATGGCTAACTACTTGGTGAATTTAGATGGCTACCTAATTTAATGAACTTAGAAGCATGGCTAACTACTTGGTGAATTTAGATGCCTACTTAATTTAATGAACTTAGAAGTATGGCTAACTACTTGGTGAATTTAGATGCCTACCTAATTTAATGAACTTAGAAGCATGGCTAACTACTTGGTGAATTTAGATGCCTACCTAATTTAATGAACTTAGAAGCATGGCTAACTACTTGGTGAATTTAGATGCCTACCTAATTTAATGAACTTAGAAGCATGGCTAACTACTTGGTGAATTTAGATGCCTACTTAATTTAATGAACTTAGAAGTAATGGCTAACTACTTGGTGAATTTAGATGCCTACCTAATTTAATGAACTTAGAAGCATGGCTAACTACTTGGTGAATTTAGATGCCTACCTAATTTAATGTACTTAGAAGCATGGCTAACTACTTGGTGAATTTAGATGCCTACCTAATTTAATGTACTTAGAAGCATGGCTAACTACTTGGTGAATTTAGATGCCTACCTAATTTAATGTACTTAGAAGCATGGCTAACTACTTGGTGAATTTAGATGCCTACCTAATTCAATGAACTTAGAGGCATGGCTAACTACTTGATGAATTCAGATGCCTACCTAATTTAATGAACTTAGAAGCGGGGCTAACTACTTGATGAATTCAGATGCCTACCTAATTTAATGTACTTAGAAGCATGGCTTACTACTTGGTGAATTTAGATGCCTACCTAATTTAATGTACTTAGAAGCATGGCTAACTACTTTGTGAATTTAGATGCCTACCTAATTTAATGTACTTAGAAGCATGGCTAACTACTTGGTGAATTTAGATGCCTACCTAATTTAATGAACTTAGAAGCATGGCTAACTACTTGGTGATTTTAGATGCCTACCTAATTTAATGAACTTAGAAGCGTGGCTAACTACTTGGTGAATTTAGATAGCCTACCTAATTTAATGAACTTAGAAGCACGCTAACTACTTGATGAATTTAGATGCCTACCTAATTTAATGAACTTAGAAGCATGGCTAACTACTTGATGAATTCAGCTGCCTACCTAATTTAATGAACTTAGACGCCTGGCTAACTACTTGGTGAATTTAGATGCCTACCTAATTTAATGAACTTAGAAGCATGGCTAACTACTTGATGAATTCAGCTGCCTACCTAATTTAATGAACTTAGAAGCATGGCTAACTACTTGGTGAATTTAGATGCCTACCTAATTTAATGTACTTAGAAGCATGGCTAACTACTTGGTGAATTTAGATGCCTACCTAATTTAATGTACTTAGAAGCATGGCTAACTACTTGGTGAATTTAGATGCCTACCTAATTTAATGAACTTAGAAGCATGGCTAACTACTTGATGAATTTAGATGCCTACCTAATTTAATGAACTTAGAAGCATGGCTAACTACTTGATGAATTCAGATGCCTACCTAATTTAATGAACTTAGAAGCATGGCTAACTACTTGATGAATTCAGATGCCTACCTAATTTAATGAACTTAGAAGCATGGCTAACTACTTGATGAATTTAGATGCCTACCTAATTTAATGAACTTAGAAGCATGGCTAACTACTTGGTGAATTTAGATGCCTACCTAATTTAATGAACTTAGAAGCATGGCTATAACTTGATGCATTCAGCTGCCTACCTAATTTAATGTACTTAGAAGCATGGCTAACTACTTGGTGAATTTAGATGCTTACCTAATTTAATGTACTTAGAAGCATGGCTAACTACTTGGTGAATTTAGATGCCTACCTAATTTAATGAACTTAGAAGCATGGCTAACTACTTGGTGAATTTACATGCCTACCTAATTTAATGAACTTAGAAGCATGGCTAACTACTTGGTGAATTTAGATGCCTACCTAATTTAATGAACTTAGAAGCATGGCTAACTACTTGGTGAATTTAGATGCCTACCTAATTTAATGAACTTAGAAGCATGGCTAACTACTTGGTGAATTTAGATGCCTACCTAATTTAATGAACTTAGAAGCATGGCTAACTACTTGGTGAATTTAGATGCCTACCTAATTTAATGAACTTAGAAGCATGGCTAACTACTTGGTGAATTTAGATGCCTACCTAATTTAATGAACTTAGAAGCATGGCTAACTACTTGGTGAATTTAGATGCCTACCTAATTTAATGTACTTAGAAGCATGGCTAACTACTTGATGAATTCAGATGCCTACCTAATTTAATGAACTTAGAAGCATGGCTAACTACTTGGTGAATTCAGATGCATACCTAATTTAATGAACTTAGAAGCATGGCTAACTACTTGATGAATTTAGATGCCTACCTAATTTAATTAACTTGAAGCATGGCTAACTACTTGATGAATTTAGATGCCTACCTAATTTAATGAACTTAGAAGCATGGCTAACTACTTGGTGAATTTAGATGCCTACCTAATTTAATTAACTTAGAAGCATGGCTAACTAATTGATGAATTTAGATGCCTACCTAATTTAATGAACTTAGAAGCATAGCTAACCACTTCAGAACTATTGCTGGAGTTAGAAGCAAGGCTAACCACTTCAAAACTGTTGCTGGAGTTCAAAGCAAGGCTAACCACTTCATAACTATTGCAGATAGAAGGTGATACATGTCTTTAAAAGGGTCCATGGAAATAGGTCAGAGACGTCTTCAGTGTCTGAGTCTGTTTTGTGCGTCCCATTTGCGTGTGAGTGTGTGTCTGTCTGTATGTGTGTGTGTGCGTGTGTGTGTGTGCATGTGTGTGTGTGTCTCTGTGTGTGTGTGTGTGTTGTTCTACAGAAAGGCAGTTGTGGTTACGGTGTTATATATGTGTGAACACAGACCCTCCGTTCAGAGTTCTCAGAATCGCGTGCGACGCTGTGACCTCAGCTTTCGGAACATTCTAGAAGCGTATTCTCTGTGTGTATTTTGGACCCGGCCACTGCTGACCCGGTCGGCATTAGATCATATATGGAATCGGGATGAAACCGGAAGTAACAATCCTACTTTCGAATTAGTTTTAGACTAAAAAGTCCTTAAGTGGTGACTGGTTAAGTTTTAGGCGTCGGATTAAGATGGTTAGGGTTAGGGTTAAGGTGGTATGAGTAAGATGGTTAAGGTGGGTCTGAGTAAGATGGTTAAGGTTAGGGTTAAGGTGGGTCTGAGTAAGATGGTTAGGGTTAGGGTTAAGGGTGGGTTGGGGTTCTTTTATGGGAATGGCTGGTTAAGTTTAGGCATGAATAGGTATTTTGTTATATTTACTTCCGCTTCCGTTCCGTATATGAGCTGGTGCTGACCCGCCTCTGATCCGCCATCTTGTTTTTTCCTAAGAATTTTTTTTACGTTTTTACCCTGATTCTCCAGTATCCTGGACGCTGAAAATTGTAGTCTCTTGAAAACCCTACGACTGAAACTACCAGAGCCTCCCCATGAGCCGTCATTTTGACTGCTCCAGTCAAGCCAGTAGACTCCTCAGAAATGACCTCAAAACTAGTAATTCATAATCTTTAGTTCTTTTTTTTAATAACTTTTAACAAGTGCAACAACTGGGGACTTGAAATACAGGAAAACAAACAAGAGAAACGTCTACTCCAAAAATCAATAGACTTATTAAAAGTAATGTTAATTGTGTGTTTAGAGGAGAGGAAGGGGAAGAGAGAGGAGAGAGTAGAGAAGAGAGGAGAAGTGGAGAGAAGGGAGAGAGGAGAAGAGAGTAGAGGAGGGATGAGAGAGGAGAGAGTAGAGCAGAAGAGAGGAGAAGTGGAGAGAAGGGAGAGAGGAGAAGAGAGTAGAGGAGGGATGAGAGAGGAGAGAGTAGAGCAGAAGAGAGGAGAGAAGAGGAGAGACACATAGTGAGATAGCACTGATGAACTGTGAATATTTGTGGGTTTTTTCTGTTGAAATCATGAGTCAACTCTTAACCTTAAAACACTGCAGCACAGACACTCCCCCTACACCACAGACACACAACAACACACACACAGAGACACACACACACAGAGACACAGACACACAAGACACAGATACATGAGAAACACAAACCACACATTTCCCATTAGTCAAAGAATATTTCGAAGTTAAATGACATATATTCCATTCAATGCGTTTGTCGGTAAATTCATGCAACGGTTAATAAGCCCCGCCCCCTTAACCTCTCTGTATTCTTTATAAATAAATTCAAAGCAGGTCTTCACGGTCGCTACAAGAAAAGAAATGAGTGGAAAGTTTGCAGCGGCGTCTGTGCTCTGGGCCCTGAGCCTGATCTGCAGCCGTGAGTATCTACACAATATTGTTTTGGCGTTTTTTGTTTCATACACTGCAAAAAATTATAAATTATGAGGTAATAAAAGCTGGAGTCTAGTGTATTTTTAATCTTAAAGAGATAATCTGTATCTTTAAATAAATTACAAATTTTAATAAATTACAAATTTTAATAAATTACAAATTTTAATAAATTACAAATTTTAATAAATTACAAATTTTAATAAATTACAAATTTTAATAAATTACAAATTTTAATGAATTACAAATTGACCTCCGGGCCTTAAATGTTGATATAAAAGAAGTCATTTTATGAGTTATAATATTAAGGGTAAGTCCCGCCTTCCCTTCTCTTAGCTACCAATCACGTGATGCCAAGGGCTGTCAATCATTGCGCTCGTGCTCGTAAATAATAATAATAAATATTAAATATGTATAGAAATATATTCGAATGAATATTAGATATTCGAAGCTGTAGTGGGCATAATCTTTTTTAAATGTTATATATAAAATAGTTAGTTCCCAAAGGTTTCAGTGACGTGGCCAGACAGGTTTACAGCTAGGGTAGCTAACTGACTAGAACTCTCTGGAACTACATGAAAAGTGAGCAAAGAATTGTGAACATCAGCGATGAGTGATGCAAATATAACCTCAAACCCAAAATCAGATCCTCTGCAAATGTGCTACTAATGTTAATACAGGGGTCAAAAAAGTATTTAGTCAGCCACCGATTGTGCAAGTTCTCCCACTTAAAATAATGACAGAGGTCTGTAATGTTCATCATAGGTTCACTTCAACCGTGAGAGACAGAATGTGAAAAAAAATCCAGGAATTCATATTGTGGGATTTTGAAATAATTTATTTGTAAATTATGGTGGAAAATAAGTATTTGGTCAATAACAAAAATTCAACTCAATACTTTGTAATGGCAATAACAGAGGTCAAACGATTACTATAGGTCTTTACCAGGTTTGCACACACAGTAGCTGGTATTTTGGCCCATTCCTCCATGCAAAGCTTCTCGAGAGCAGTGAACACGGACTTTCAACTCCCTCCACAGATTTTCAGTGGGGTTGAGGTCTGGAGACTGGCTAGGCCACTCCAGGACTTTCAAATGCTTCTTACGGAGCCACTCCTTCGTGTGTTTGGGATCATTGTCATGCTGGAAGACCCAGACACGTTTCATCTTCAAAGCTCTCACTGATGGAAGGAGGTTTTGGCTCAAAATCTCACGATACATGCCCCATTCATTCTTTCCTTAACACGGATCAGTCGTCCTGTCCCCTTAGCAGAAAAACAGCCCCAAAGCATGATGTTTCCACCCCCATGCTTCACAGTAGGTGTGGTGTTCTTTGGATGCAACTCAGTATTCTTCTTCCTCCAAACACGACGAGTTGAGTTTAGACCAAAACAGTTCTACTTTGGTTTCATCTGACCACATGACATTCTCCCAATCCTCTGCTGTATCATCCATGTGCTCTCTGGCAAACTTCAGACGGGCCTGGACATGCACTGGCTTTAGGGACACGTCTGGCACTGCAGGATTTGATTCCCTGTCGTCGTAGTGTGTTACTGATGGTAACCTTTGTTACTTTGGTCCCAGCTCTCTGCAGGTCATTCACCAGGTCCCCCCGTGTGGTTCTGGGATTTTTTATCACCGTTCTCATGATAATTTTGACCCCACGGGATGAGATCTTGCGTGGAGCCCCAGATCGAGGGAGATTATCAGTGGTCTTGTATGTCTTCCATTTTCTGATAATGGCTCCCACAGTTGATTTGTTCACACCAAGCTGCTTGCCTATTGTAGATTCACTCTTCCCAGTCTGGTGCAGGTCTACAAATATTTTCCTGGTGTCCTTCGACAGCTCTTTGGTCTTGGCCATAGTGGAGTTTGGAGTCTGACTGTTTGAGGCTGTGGACAGGTGTCTTTTATACAGATAAGGAGTTCAAACAGGTGCCATTAATACAGGTAACGAGTGGAGGACAGAAGAGCTTCTTAAAGAAGAAGTTACAGGTCTGTGAGAGCCAGAGATCTTCTTTGTTTGAAGTGATCAAATACTTATTTTCCACCATCATTTACAAATACATTCTTTAAAAATCCTACAATGTGAATTCCTGGATTTTTTTTTCACATTCTGTCTCTCACAGTTGAAGTGTACCTATGATGAAAATTACAGACCTCTGTCATTATTTTAAGTGGGAGAACTTGCACAATTGGTGGCTGACTAAACACTTTGCCCCACTGTAGTTACTTTTTGACGCATTAAAACAGTATTTTTGTCATGAAAATGTGAACAGCTAATTCTGAAAACGTGTGTTAAGAATGTATATGTATAATGTATTCTCAGATTAACATTTAAATGTGTTATTGATTGGTATTTGTGTTATTGAGCGTGGATAGCTCCGATAGCTTGTCTGTGTTAAAACAGTCAGAATCTGCTCAGATTCAGATAAATTTTTGCCAAATTTGAGACAATTTTGACTTAGTTTTATAACTTTTTGCCGTGTGGAGCCAACACCAGACAGACTGAGGCCGTGGTTCTATAGAGCTATCTCCAGCAATAGGCAAAGGAAGGAAAGTTTTCAGTTTGTATAGCACAGTTCATACACAAGGAAAGTTAATGGGCTCAACAAAACAAAACAAGTTAAACAATCACACAAGGGCAAATTGTCAGAGAAGAATTACACAGGGTGACAGTGGCTCAGTTGGTAGAGCATTGGCCTTTGGGCCTGAAGGTCGTGGGTTCGAGCCCATCACAAGACCTACTTCATGACTAACACTGATGTCTGCTGTTTTTGTGTCATTGGGCATGACACTTAACCCCACTTTGCCTGAAGCCCCCACTGAAAGATCTCAGCTCCTGTGGACTCACCAGCTGCACGAGGATCAGTGAGGGCTGACTGCCTGACCCAGAAATGGATTGATGAATGAATTTTCACATTTTCAGGAAGACTATTCCCAGTTCTGAAACGATGCCTCCTCACGTTTAGTCCTGACTCAGGGCATCATAAGGAGTCCAGTCCCTGTGCTCCTCAGAGTCCCAGCAGTCCCTGTACTCCTCAGAGTCTCAGCAGGAAGCCAGTCCCTGTGCTCCTCAGAGTCCCAGCAGGAGATCAGTCCCTGTGCTCCTCAGAGTCCCAGCAGGAGGCCAGTCCCCGTGCTCCTCAAAGTCCCAGCAGGAGGCCAGTCCCTGTGCTCCTCAGAGTCTCAGCAGGAGGCCAGTCCCCGTGCTCCTCAGAGTCCCAGCAGGAGATCAGTCCCTGTGCTCCTCAGAGTCCCAGCAGGAGGCCAGTCCCTGTGCTCCTCAGAGTCCCAGCAGGAGGCCAGTCCCTGTGCTCCTCAGAGTCCCAGCAGGAGGCCAGTCCCTGTGCTCCTCAGAGTCCCAGCAGGAGATCAGTCCCTGTGCTCCTCAGAGTCCCAGCAGGAGGCCAGTCCCTGTGCTCCTCAGAGTCCCAGCAGGAGGCCAGTCCCTGTGTTACTCAGAGTCTCAGATCTACTGTAATATTCTTCCCACAGTGGATGCAGCAGAGATCATCAATGGTAAAGAAGTGACCCCTCACTCCCTGAAGTTCATGGTTCTTCTGGTAAACAAGCAGGGGCCTTACTGTGGGGGGATCCTGGTGGATCCTCAGTGGGTCCTGACGGCCGCACACTGCCACAAGTCAGTCTTGGAGCTTTTCTACATATTCTACATATTTATTCTGTATATTCAGTCACTAACGCATCATGTTGTCAATGTTTAGAGGTGAGAAAATCAAGAACGTGATGCTGGGAGTTCACAACATCAAAAAAGATGAGAAAAAGTTTCGTCAGACGAGAAAAGTGAAGGAATACATCCCGTGTCCCTGCTACGACTCTGTGGAGAAAGTAAACGACTTCATGCTCTTAAAGGTACAGAAACGACTGCAGTATTTATGTTTCTTAAACATGTTTTATTTCAGACGTGTCAAACTCTAGCCTGGTCCTACCATGTGTAAACTCTGGTCATGATCATTTCCTACATGTTCGTCTGGGTCTGGTCCTAGTGGCTGCAGTTTCCTCGGAGAAAGAGGAATGTTTAGTAAATGTCATTGCTGCAAATATGTTGTGGCTCTAGTCTAAATGCTAAAGCTAGTCGAAATGCTAAAGCTAGGCTACATGCTAAATACTCACTCGGGTGTATTACATACGTCACGGTAAACTCAGATCCAATCGTTTCACTCTGCAAAAGGAGGCTAAACTTGTAGGTCAAATCTGGCCTGCAAGAAAATGATTATTAGCCCCTTTTCCATTATTATTATGAACTTGCAGCATTGATGCTAATGGGCTTCCATGGCATGTTATACATCATCTATTTACTCAAGAAAACAACCAGATCTAATTTATTATAAAACTTGAACCCAACACATCATTAGAAGTTAAATAGTTGAATATAAAACAATGTGTTTAACTTGATTTCTGGTCTAGTTTTGGTTCAATCCAAACAATAACACTCAAGAGACGAGAGAGAGAGAGAGAGAGAGAGAGGAGAGAGAGAGAGAGGAGAGAGAGAGAGGGAGAGAGAGAGAGAGAGAGAGAGAGAGAGAGAGAGAGAGAGAGAGAGAGAGAGAGAGAGAGAGAGAGAGAGAGAGAGAGAGAGAGAGAGAGAGAGAGAGAGAGGAAGGAGAGAGAGAGGAGTGGGAGAGAGGAGAGAGAGGAGAGGGAGAGAGGAGAGAGGAGAGGGAGAGAGGAAGGAGAGAGAGAGGAGCGGGAGAGAGGAGAGAGAGAGTCATATACAGTATATATAATTCTGTGATTGATGAGACGCCTGCTACAGCTGCAGACGATGAACTAACTTCTCTCTGTGTCGCAGCTCGATGAAACCGTGACAGTGACAGACTATGTGGACGTCCTGCCGCTGAAGAAGGCCCAGGACCCTCCGGCCGGCTCCTCCTGTGTGGTCGCTGGGTGGGGGAGACTGGAGTCAGGCAGAGAATCTGACGTCCTGATGGCGGTGAACGTGACGGTGGTGGACAGAGACAAGTGCAACTCTAAAAACTACTACAACCTACGTCCTGTCATCACACACGGACACGTCTGTGCAGGCTCCGACGGGACCAGCCAGGCCGACTCCTGCCAGGTCTCTTAGAAGCATGGCTAACCACTCTAAACTGTAGTGTCGATCCTAGAAGCATGGCTAACCACTCTAAACTGTAGGGTCGATCCCAGAAGCATGGCTAACCACTCTAAACTGTAGTGTCAATCCTAGAAGCATGGCTAACCACTCTAACACAAGGCCGACTCCTGCCAGGTCTCTTAGAAGCATGGCTAACCACTCTAAACTGTAGTGTCAATCCTAGAAGCATGGCTAACCACTCTAAAGCAAGGCCGACTCCTGCCAGGTCTCTGCGCTTTCTGTGTTTAATCCTCTCTTTCTTCTCTCCTCTCTCATCTATTTTCTCCCCTCTCCTCTCTTCCCTCTCCTCTTTCCCCTTTCCTTTCTCCTCTCCCCCTCTTCTTTCCTCTCTCCCCTCTTCTCTCCCCCCTCTTCTCTCTCCCCTCTCCGACCTCCTCTCTCTTCTCTCCCCCCTCTCCTCTCTCCTCTCTCCCCTCTCCTCTCCCCTCTCTCTTTTATCCTCTGTTCATGGCTCTAAAAACAGTGCACGCAGGCGCCACCTGCAGGTGAAAGAAGGATCTCGGTGATTTGATATTGAGAATATGAACGGTATAGAAATTGTATTTGAGCCATTGCTGCCATCTTGTGGTTGTAAGAAACACACACACAGGATAGATAGATAGATAGATACATAGATAGATAGATATAGATTTGAGATGTTTTTAATATATTATGTGTTTTATACATATATATATATATTTGATCTTTATCTTGTGTTCCAGGGTGACTCTGGGGGACCACTGCTCTGCGACGGGAAACTGGTTGGAGTGACGTCGTTTGGGGGTAAAAAGTGTGGAGAAGTCAACAAACCCGGAGTGTACACGCTCCTCACTCACGACAGAGTCCAATGGATCAAAGACACCATGAAGAAGAAATGAGAATTCTACCACGTTATCTGTGTTATCTGTCTGTCTGTTCATCACTCCAATCCACTTTATTAATCCATTCATTCATTCATTTTCTACCCCTTTTTTAGTCAATTTCTGGGTCGGGGGAGTGACAATCAGAGCTGCCACCCAGTCCGCAAAACACCAGTACATTTCTCCAGTGTGAGATCTATAAAGTCTATTTTGCTTTGTCTTTCCAGTCCAAAAAAACAACTAGGATAAAGCCATAAATATACATTAATACACACACACACACTTATGTTTATAGTGTAAACACAGATACACAAAAGGACAATACAACTCTTTTTAACAGCGAGGTGAGATGGATTGCATTAGTACATTTTATGTGGTTCAGAAATTAAGGTACCTCAGCTTTAAATACATAAAGCAGGAGCCAACATACGTTAATATTTACCAGATCCATAATTTCAAATAAAAAACTTGAAAAACGTGTCATTGTCATTACTTTGAACCATTAAAACCAGTGACATATGATCTCTCTCTCTCTCTCTTTCTCTCTCTCTCTCATTAAAACCAGTGACAGATTAGTAAGTAAAGTAAGTAAGTCAAGTTTATTGGTATAGCGCATTTCACAGACCAGGATCACAAAGCGCTTCACACATTAAAACACAAACAAGTCAGATTTAAAAACAAAAACACAGTTTACACAGTTCACAGAGGCCGATGAACAGTGAGGCGAGAAAGCCTGTTCAAACAAACGCGTCTTAAATTGGGACTTAAAATCATTGACAGTCTCTAAGATGCGCAGAGACTGAGGAAGCTCATTCCAAAGGCGAGGAGCAACTGCCTAGAAGGATCTGTCTCCTCTGGTTTTAAAGCGAATGCGGGGACCATCAACAGGTTCTCAGTGGAGGACCTCAGGCTCATGTATTCAGGCGCCTGACCATGAAGAGCCCTGAATGTCAACACTAGAATTTTAAAATGTATTCTGTGTGAGACAGGGAGCCAGTGTAGGGACTTCAGGATAGGAGTAATGTGGGCTCTCCTGTGGGTGCGGGTCAAAAGCCTCGCAGCAAAAAACTTGTAAACGAGCCAGATCTTTTTTACTAGGACATGTAAGCAGCTGTTACAATAGTCCAATCGCAAGGAAACAAAAGCGTGGACAATCGTCTCCAGCTCCTGATCCGAGACCATGTGCCTGAGCTTGGAGATGTTGCGCAGGTGGAAGTTACAGTTTCGGATCAGCTGTTTGGTGTGTCGTTCTAGGGACATCCCTTCATCAAAAGTGACTCCAAGGTTCCTCAGACTCTTTTTCACTGAGCTACTTAGGTCACCAAGGTGCTGAGTAATGACAGGCACCATACTGTCCGGGGCTACAACTCAATCAAACAAACTTTATTTATAACGTGCTTTTCATACAATAAAATGCAACACAAAGTGCTTTACAGCTTAGTCAAAATCAATACAACATGCCCAATAAACCCCAAAGACCCACCCATAAACCACACTAATTATTAGATATACATCGAGATGCATGTATAACTACAGATGACGACACAGGACCCAGAGGAGAGAGGAGGCCCCAGACCCCCCACCAGGCCCCCATAGGACCCAGAGGAGAGAGGAGGCCCCAGGCCCCTACTAGATCCAAAAGCCAGACCCCCGCAGCCACAGCAGACCGCCGCTCTCAGTGCAGAGGGCCCCTCCAGAGGAAACACTGGGGATACTACCCATACAATAAAGAGTAAAACAGCTACCTAATACTAAGTGACAAAACAGAATACGTAAAATTAAATAAATAAATAAGAACCAAAATAAGATCTGTCTAAAACAGAATAAAAACTAATCAAAAGCTAATCTAAAAAGGTGTGTCTTGAGCCTGTTTTTAAAAATATGAACGTTCTCTGCGGCCCTGAGCTCCTCCTCAGACTGTTCCAGAGACGGGGGCCGTAGTGCTGGAAAGATGCCTCGCCGTGAGTGTGTGTCCTGACTTTAGGGATGGTTAGGAGTCTGCTGCCGGAGGAGCGCAGGGGCCGGGAAGGTTCATAGGATAAAAGCAGCTCTGAAAGATAAGAAGGCCCAAGACCATTAAGACATTTAAAAACCATTCAAAGAACCTTAAAATTGATCCTGAAACACACGGGGAGCCAATGCAGCCATTTTAAAACCGGTGTAATGTGGTCCCGCCCCCTGGTCTTAGTCAGGACACGCCCCCTGGTCTTAGTCAGGACACGCCCCCTGGTCTTAGTCAGGACACGCCCCCTGGTCTTAGTCAGGACACGCCCCCTGGTCTTAGTCAGGACACGTGCGGCCGAGTTTTGAAGTAATTGTAAACCTGAAATGTTCTTTTTGGGAAGACCAGAGAGCAGGGCATTACAGTAGTCAATGCGACTGGTGATAAAAGCATCAGCGTCTCCGTGTTGCCCCGAGAGAGAATGGGGCGGACTCTGGCGATGTTCTTTAAATGATAAAAACCTATTTTTGTGATTTTTAATGTGAGGCATAAAAGTCAGCTCAGAGTCAAAGATTACGCCCAGGTTTCTCACTTGTGATGATGGATTAAAAGACTGTGATTGGAGTTTTTGTAAAAGTTTTTCTCTCTGGGCCTCAGGACCGATGACTAAAACCTCAGTTACAGTATGTCCTGGTTAAGCTGGAGAAAGTTTTCTGCCGGGTATGGTCACTAAGCCATATCTTTATTCTGTCTAGGCAGTTAGCGAGAGCAACCAGTCTCTGGGGTTCAGAGGGGTTAAAAGAGCAGTACAGCTGGAGATCGTCAGCATACAGGTGGTAGGAGACCTCACTGAACTGCTGGATCAGCTTGCCTAGAGGGAGCAGGTACATCATGAATAAAAATAGGCCCAAGAACGGAGCCTTGGGGTACACCCCACTGTAGGTCTGCAGATTCAGACACCACGTTGTTTGAAGACACACAAAAGGTTCTACCTGTCAGGTATGATATAACCTCTTAACATCCGCCTCATTTTGGCTCGTGCACAATGGTTGGGCATACCCAAATGTCTTTGCTTATTTAAAAACACATCTTACATCTCACATGCTTGTGTGATGCATCATTTTAAAGCTAGAGCCTTCTAGTTTATGTAAAAAAACACTAAAATAATGTTTGTCATTCCTATTTTCCTCTGCATCCTTTGAAGTTAGGGAAAAAAACCCAATTTTTTTAGCCTCGCCTAACATTTTCAATTTCTAAAGGCTCTAAAAAAGGCAGACTTCATTGTAAGTTCACAATATTCAAACCCTCTGTTCATTGTGTTGTTGACAACAACTGTCTAAAGTTTCAGACTTCTAAGTTTTATAGTTTTTATGCAGTTTCTCCTTTTCATCAAGTAGTGCACATTTGGCACAATTTGGCACAAGTGTGCCAAATTGTGCCAAATATCTTTACTTACATTTAATCATCATAAAAACAATATTTTTTATTATTGGTACTTATAAGTTACTAATCTATGTGTGTGTGTTTTTTTTAAATGTCAAAGTTATTTTTTTATGAGTGTAAATTCATTGCAGCTTCGGGAGCGTCTTTTGGCTTCCATGACGCACAATTGTCCAGGGACAACATAAGACAGGACACCATTGTCCCACCCCTTGTTCGAAAGCTTTCCTCATTGGCTACAAGGACATGTCAATCGTAAATCCCGGAAGTAAACGTAAACAAGTTGGGACCCCACAAAAGATCAGTGTTCAATGCGCAAACAGCAGCGCAAGCTGTGCTTACGGGACCTCTTGCAGACCCAAAAATTCTAGCTTTTCGGGAGTAGTCTCATTTGAAAGATAAGGAGCTAAGGAACACGTAGATACCAGATGTTCGGGTGAAAAACAAAGCTAAAAGTCCGTTAAAAGTGAAAGAGTAACATCTGTGCTCTTTTCTTTCGTTTTTTTCGCTAAAGATAAATGCACATTTTTGGATTATTTCTGCAGAATGGATTTTACTTTGGGAAATACAAGTGGATATAATTTTCCTTTGGACTGTTCCAGAGAGAATGATGTATTGCAAGCTGGGAGGAGAGCTGATTTATTTGTACAGCACAAGTCCAAAGGTAAAAAGCTATTTCGGAATTGATTTATTTTGTGCCCACATTATGTGTTATATCTTTTGAATGCAAAGTCTGATGTAGTTTACACTTGTATATAAATGTAGATAAGAAAATAAGCTTTAAAATGATATACAGCTTTTGGGGTTTGGTGTTCAAAATACATCTGCTATTGCCAGAAGAACATTTAAAAACATAAAAACAACCCGCCGGCGGGTTGGTGGTTGCTAAGTTGTTTGAAGACACACAAAAGGTTCTACCTGTCAGGTATGATATAAACCAATGGTGTAGGTTTGGTTCCAATCTTGGTGGGGACATTCACTACGACCTGAGTCTACACCCATTGACACGGGGTCCAGAGTTTCTCCCCCAGAAAATATTGAATTAGAATCTACAGTGAGTAGCTCACTACATTGTTTGACATATACGATCAATCTCTAAAAACAATTCATAGTCCCATGCATACCTACAAAATTCCAACCTCACCTGATGCACTGAAGGGCCTGTTGCTTCTACCTCAACATTCCCTATATTGTTCTCTCTTGTTGGTTGAGTTTCCTATGTATGTTAACAGAAGATTAATCATCACAATTCATGATTTGCTATTACTTGTGCTTTCTCTTACTTACTTTCCAACTGTTAAAAAAGCTCCTGATATCTTTTATCTTTTTTTGTGGAGGTGGCATTTTTTCTAAATTATATAAGAAGGTATAGACAATCAAAAACAGACATTCATATACATGAACTGCAGAATCATTTATATAACTTGGCCAATGTCAAAAGTTACATAGTATTTCTCAATACAATGAGTTAACAAGAGTTTGGCAATAAGTAACATTGTGGATTTTTCTATATTTTCTTTTTTTTATTCCACTCTCAACCCAAAAAGGCAAGTAATGACTCACAGGGCTCTCAAGTATGCAAAATAAAAAATAAAAACTTAAATGACCTGTTGTGGTGTGTTTTGCGCACAACCAG